TTTGATTATCAAAAGTACACGGTTAGTGGGTCAGCAAGGTTTTTGTCTATCCATGCTTGTATTTGATGATATATTGGTGATTAATTCGTTTTAAGATGGAAAAATAGTTCTTTCATTCTTATTTTTGTAAATTTTTAATTAGCGAGTTCAGGCGATTTAAGAATCGAATCCATTTTTTTTCTCGTTTTTTTTCTCATTCGTTTCATTTGGTCAGAAAATTTGCAGATGACAAGATAATGACCACTCATTGACAATTCAAGAGCGTAACAATCAAAATTGACTTCAGACACAATTTAATGAAGGAAAGCTGAAGATAGGAGTGGGACTATAGTTGGAATCAGGAAAATCTGAGCAGAAATTTATATTTGTTCATCGTTTCATTACTAAACAACACAGAATTATGAACATGAATCGAAAATCGACGAAGTTCTTTAAAACTCTCCTAATTTTATGTAGCAGTGTATCCATCAAAACAGCAAAACAAAAATCTGTCACAACTCGTGGACGATGAACAAAAGTCTCTGAGCGTGTTTTTTTGTTTCCGTGTCTTATTTGTTTTTCATTTTGGCATCAAACAAACTGAATTGTCTATCCAAAGAGCGACTCTCATCTGTTAAATCTGGTCTATTCTTAACTACATTAGTATTATAGACCTCACTATTATAAAAACAAGCACTATAATTTTCGGTAAGACAACTTTCGAAAAAACCATTTACGTTTGGTTTTGTAATGAAACTATTTATCAAGTCATTTGAGTCATTATGGTAGCATCTCAGTGATCTTAAGCTTTCGAAAAAAAATGCCCCAAAAACGATATCGGAATCCACTTATTGTTTGCTTTCCGTTAAAACAAAACACCGCGAAGTCTTAAGAACAGTTCAGCTATTGAACTATTCGGATGTCTGCTTTTGCCCATTCGAGTACACAACCTTGTCACTCGATATAGTGAAATGCGCAAAAAATTCTTTTTTTATCCATCGGATTGTTTTGTTTTTCCTTTCCGTCAAGTGGAGAACGTGAATAACTTCGATTTACATTCCTGTGCAAGTCTTTCCTTTTTCTTAATCGCCACAGCAGTCAAATCATCGACAGTGGAAAAAGTGTTAACATCCTGGCTAATAAAGGCATCCTTTTTTTCTTAGAGTGATATTTCCACTTTCATTGAACTCTATTTTGTCTAATACTATTCCAATAACACCCTTAACCGGTCCTTTTTCCAAGTTAAATAACACTGAATATAAAAATGCGGGTTTTTTCTATCAGTTTACGTAAAAATGGAAAAATGTAAGTCGTGTTGACTACTTATTGTTCGAATTATTAGTGGTAAATTTATATTCAATAATTAAGTTTTACTGCTAATAAACTTGTAGTTACCTCAACCTTTTCTCGGTTTGTCCTAAACGTCCTGTTTTCTGCAATGTGAATTACAATTCTGTACTAAGGGATGTATATTTGTTCGTTCTGTAGTATGATGCTGGTATCTTTCAACCAATCAGGGCTTTTTCAGCGGCTTTTAATTAAATCATATTTTGCAAAAGAAGTCTGACAAAAATTACCCTAGGTTCCTGAAAATATAGAAAGTTAAGCATACTCGACAACAAATTTCTTCAAAAAATGAATAGAAAAAGCTTAAATGTATACAAATTTTTATTTCTAAAAATCCACTATGGAGCTAATTAACTTAGAAGTCGCCGGAAAAAAACTTTTTCGGCTTAACAAAAATCTCACGGCTTGGCTTCCTATAACAAGCTTGCCCAAAATTAGACTAAAAATCATTGGCGGATTCTCAGAGTCAAAACAAAGAAAGTTTTTGGAAACTGTTTTTATTTGGATCGAATCACGACTGAAAGAGCTTTCATATGGCATAACACTCTACCCATCCTGATAATTATTTTTGGTTCCTGGTATGTCGTGGAAAAAAAAGCAAACCCGAACACAATTTCCTTCCCAGGCATCTTTCACGCAAATTCAGTAAAACAACCAAAGAGAATCATTTATTCCATTCCTTAGCGGTAATTCAGTCTGGGATACGGAAATCTCCTACCACGATTATCTTGGCACCAAAAAATCGTGTATTTGGTTTTTCGCCGTTTTTCAATCAATTTGAGTAACTTTTTTGACATGCATATGGTTTTAAACACTCCTACAAATTTAATTAAAGTTTTTTTTAACTACAATTACCTTTTTTGATTAATAATGAAATAATAACTGTGTTAGTTTCCCAGAAAAAAAAACAATCTAAAAATAAATTTCTGCGGCATAAAACGGAAAAAAAATTTCTTGCTGAAAAACTCCAAAAAATTAATTTACTGCAGCTTAAAACAGAAAAATAATACGAAATACAGCTTAATCAAGAGAACTTCTCGTTACTCGCTCCAAAATTGACATGAAAAAATCAAGCAAAATTTCTCAACACAGAGTTGATTTGGTCGAATATTTCAAATTTAGAACAACATAAGACTGAAATGGTTATGATATGATTTATCACTTGGCGCTTCTAAGCGTGGGAAAAACGAATAAAAAAATTATACACACCCAAAGACAAAATTCCTCTAAATTTTTAGATGTCGAAACGTTTATATTCAAAACCACTGGCTCCTAATCTCCTTATAAATTTAATGGCAGATTATCCTTATCAGTGAACCCGCTTTTATTCGTATGTTTGCAAACAAACGCCCATAACGACTAAAAAATATGAAAACAGCCGCTTATGTAATTTGCACCTCAGACCTCCAGATCATGACATATTTGCATTCTATGAAGACACATCTGCGACACAAAAATCTACTACTTGAGAGGTTAGTAGAAAATTGGTACAGTAGCAATGCAGATGTGTCTAAAAGTGAAAAATCTGCTGTTTTTCTTCGATATTTGTGTTGTTTCTTTTTGTGTTATGTGATTTTTAAAGCTCATTTTTCGTGTTTGGTTTTTATTTTTGGAACGCAGCATGGTCTCGTTTCCGAAATGTGTTAAGAAATCACCGAAATGATTAAAGAAAGTTTTCATTGTCTGCTGGTAGATTTTCAAAGTTGATTATAAAAAAAAAACAGCCGACTTTGAAGATCGCTACTCGGGTTTTTAGATTAAGACGTATTTGTCTTTTTCGCACACTCATTTGCCTGTTACTATCTGTTTTGCTAATAACTTCATTCTACTGAACTACTCGCCGAATAGAATTTGAGACTGGTATTCTAGTAAGCGTTGGTTTATCTCAATCCACAAAGAAAGATTGCGTTTTGATCGCTTTCTCAGCGAAAATATCGAACAAAAATTAACGCACAGTTTGAACGCACACGTTGGTGTCTTGATAGGAGCAAACATGTTGTTCCAACCTCCCTCAAAAAGACAATGAAGCAAGACAGTCTATTTTCCACGATTAAAAGAACATCAAAGCAAGCTCGCAGGTAGTCAAGAGTGCTATCATAGATAAAGTTTTCATTCGTTATTCGGGATGAATTTTTCAAAACCTCTGAAATTTTTTGAATTTTTGAAACTCAGAATATTGGCGTTTTCTAAACAAAACTAACGAAGAAAAATTATTTTCTTTGCATCTGGACGACAAGTTTTTTCATTTTATTAAAGATGAATGGTAAATTAGTGCCGATTAAAACTATCCAAACAAAACTTGAAACTTAAAACGCCAATTTTAAGACATTACTTGCTTAAAATTTTAGCTGAATTATTTGATTCGATGAAATTTTGGCCCGGAATTTTACCAAAAATTAATCAATTTTGACTTTTTGGTCAATGAACAATTACGCCAAATTACGAATCAAATGCTGATAAAACTATACTAAGTGAGCCTCTTATGTCGCTCAAATAATTAGAAAAAAATATATAATCTCTACAAAAAATGAGCGCAAAATGATTTAAAAATAAATGCAAACAAGAATGCGTTATTTCATATAGTAACCATAGCCAACAGACAGTTGTATAAAAATTAACAAACGCAAGTAAACAAAAAAAAGCTTGTTTGAAACTTTCGATTTTTGAAGAAAAAATAGATGGCTTTAGATCTCTTTGAATGTCCTGAACAAATTATAATTGAAATATTTTTGAAAAAAAACCCAATTCGAAAAAACAAATAATAGGTTAACTTTTTTCACTGCGCTGGAAAATCTGAAAACTGAATTTTCAAAACAAATCAAAGGTCAAATCGCAAAAAAAGTAAATTTGAGCCTTAACAATTTTTATCTGAAGAAATCATCACAACCTCTATGATAGCGTGAACTACGTATTAAAGGCTCAATTGGGTATAGTTTTATCAGCAATTGATCCAGTAATTTGGCGTATTTTTTCATTGACTAAAAAAAGCGAAAAAAATGATCAAATTTGGGGCAAATTTTAGGCCCGACTTTCAAAAAAGTCAGTTTATATTCTAAACAAACTTTACCGCCATCATTTTTGTCTTAAGTACACCCAAATTGTGACAAAGGCCTTTTAAATTTCAAGTTAAATTAGTTTTGTCCGGATAATTTGATCACAGAGGCAAAGCTGCGCTTCGCAGACACTTGCGAGAACACGGCCAAAAAGCAGCTCTATCAAGTGAAAAATGAAAGTAAAAATTAGCAAAAACTCGGCTACGGTTAGGATTAGAATCTACGACCTGCTGCAATCGAAAGATTTTGAGTCTCACGCACTATCCACTCAGCCACGCAAGCTTAACAACCGACAAACAGTAGTCACAACCGACAAACACTAGTCACGAAAAGTGCGATATATTGAGTTAGAAAATTTCAGGGTTCTGTAATTCCAATTGTTCGTTGGTAGGGGTAAACACAAAAATAATTGCTGAAAAAATACAGTGAACAGAAATTTAACGCAAAACTTGTATGTTGGAAAAAATTGCTGCACATTTTATTTTAATTAGTACTTGATTAAAGCAATTGTGTTTGTCAATAACAAGTTACGTCTTATCCTTCAAGCAAACACTTAACTCTTCTTTGAAAAATACTGCAAATAAATAAAATTTGTCATAAATAAATAAGAAAACACTCTACAGAACGATTATTTCATAAATTTTGTGATAGGTCAATTTTATTTGAAAGTATCTCTTCAAAAGTCAGCCAGTTTAATTTGTCTTTCTCCGTCCTGGAGAAAAATCCTCATTGCTTTTTTCAGTAGATACAATCCGAGCTGTTGTTTCCTGGACTCGTCCCAAGTTGGGCACACGCCGTAAAAATCGCCCTTTCTCTGATTCGTCAATCTGTTCAAGCCGAGGGTTGAAATCATGAGGGCTTCTCGGGTGTATGCTTCGGCTGGAATTGTGTTCTGATAGCACTGCAGGTTCACGACTCCGAACCCCGATTCCCAGATGTCCTTGATATGATTCACTTTCTCGGATACCTGAGTGCTGGTGTTTTTCTGAGGTCGCACAGCCTCGTTGAAGTGACTGAGGGGTCTGTTTGCCTGTCCCTTCCCGACGTAGAAGATGGCAGACACGAAGTATCTGAACGACTCCAGCTCTGTGAGATTTCGCGAGCGACTCTGCAGATTCCTGAAACGACAAAAACCATAAAAATAAAGTCGTCAAAGCGCAACGAGGATGTTAATTATGAGATAACACTTGAAATGAGTATTTCTCACTTTTCCTCTCTGTCGCATACGTTACAACTTGTAACACAGAGGCGAAGCAGAACTTTGCACAACTTCCGAAACAAAAAGGAATGACTATCAATAAATCGAAGTCACTCTTAAATCGAAGCCACTCATAAAGTTCATAGATCAGCGGTCTTTGCACTTGTTTGATGAGCCGGTTCCTTTTCCTGACTCTTTTCCACTCCCCACTTACCTTTCAAATCCAGTTTTGAACACTACTTTAGCGTTGCCATCATGCAACAAAAATTGGCAGGGTGAACAACCTAACACTTCTGAACAGATTTGGCTCTTTTTCCTTGCCCCCCCCCCTTCGCAATTTTTGGGAAAAAGGAAGAAAAAGAGCCGCGGATTTTTTTCTTCATAATCACATCGACACACAAATCATTTAGCCATAATAACACGCAAAACAACGGCCTTACCTCACATAAGCATCAATTTGATGGTGTAACTGGGAGTAGATTTATAAGGTTAATTATGAAGACTAAATATGTTTGTCAGGACCCAATCAGTCCGTTTGCCAATTTTTGTTTTGTATCAATCGGACAATGTGAACCAAAACCATTTCAAAACAAAATTCTGAGCAGGGAGGGGAGGGAGGGGGGTAATTGGGGAGGAAGAGCCAAACAATTTTCAGAAAATAAAATTTAGATGGTTGGGGGGCTCTTTTTCCTTTCCTCCCCATCTGCAAGTAAAACTTTTTTTCGCATTGCCCTATTTTAATGAAAACTAACATACGTGATTGGGGGAGGAAAAAGAGCCGGATGTGAGGGGGGTCGTGGGGTGGAAAAAAGTTTGTTTCCCCCACCTCACATAAGCATCAACTCCATGGAATAAGGCTGGGAATAAGTCAAGGTATGAAGAAGAATCATTGAATAGCCGAATAAGCCCGCATGCCAATTTGCATAACAATTGTGACTTGCACCTACTTAGTGACTCTGGGATCTAGCAGGAGATATGTGAACGACTTCTTTCTGCCCCCCTCTCTCCAGGTGCGGTTGGGGTCTCTGAACACTGACGTCATCAACTCCTCCTCCCCCTCCAACTCAGGAAGAAGCGTCACCGAATCTCCTCCATTCAGGTAGTCCGACAGCAGGCGAGGGAAGTCTAACAACAATCAACTACTTATTGTCATTATTATTATAATGATTAGCCCCGGCCCTAGCCACAACAGGGCAATCGCTATCCTGGGGGAGGGGGTGGGTGCCACTCTTTTTTCGTATCAACTATCTTCTCTATCGACCGTTCTTGGTCAACGGTTATACTCATGATTCTAGCCTAAATGTTTTTTTTTAGAATTAATTATTTGAATCATTTGTTGCAAAATATACAACGTATGAAATATTTGTGGTATATAAACCAGCCGAAGTATCAACCAGTCAAAAATATGTAAGTGTTAAGTAATAGGGCTCTTTTTCCTTCCCCCCCCCCCCCACCTGCAAATTTTTATATTTGAAGTTACTGTTCACTTTGTCCGATAGTCATGAAAATTGACATACAGACTGATTAGGCCATGACAAACATATTTGGTCTTCATAATTAACCTTGTAAAACCATTCGTTAGACCATAAAATTCATGTTTGAGTGAGGTGGGGGGAAAAGGAAAAAGAGCCAGTAATAGTTATGTAACAATTATGTAACACTACGAAAGTTATGCAATTTCTTTCAAATTATGTAACTTTTCCGCTGACTTACTCCGCGCATTTTCGGTTGGTTTACTTCGACTGGTTTATTTACATTCGAAATATTGTTTACCTTCTCGCAGGGGCGGATCTAGGATTTTCTCGAGGGGGGGGGGGGGGGGGGCGGATTTTCAAAAAATTTTCTAAAATTTTGACGACCTTTTTTTTAGGTCGACCAAATTGATTTTTCGAGCTCTCCCAAAGCACTGTTTTGCCCCATTTTTGGGGGTAAATTTTGTGCGCCGCAGTCAAATTTTTGAAAAAACAGTCAAAAAAGCCGTTTTTTTGGCGCGCGCTCCCCCTCAAAGTTAGCATATATTGGCGCCAAAGGCGCCTTTAGAAAAATTTTAGGGTCGGTCGGCCAAAAATGGATTTCTGAAAAAGTATCAAAGGGGGGACCCTTTGGGTCGGCAGGGGTCGAATCCCCTAAATCCGCCCCTGCCTTCTCGTAAACCACAAGTTAGATATTTGGAAAACTGAATGAAAACTGAAATTTGAGAATCCGAGCGAAAAATCTTTTTGGAGCTAGCTACAAACGAAACTAGTAGCATGTCAGATTGAACTAGCACGTGTTTCGTGAATCCGTCAACTAATGATATTGTGACTAAAATTGGTCAGATATTAGAAGGAAAGCGAGTCATGACATCTTTTTTTAAAGCCAAGGCTCTTTGCCAGTCCCCCCTTCAAGTTCAATTTTGAAAAGCTTATTTAACTATTGAACGTAGTCATAATGCAATGAAAATTGGCATGGTGAACAAACTGACATCTGTGAACAGATGTGTTCTTCGTACTTCACATCGTAACATTACGAATTTAGCCGAAATAACATGTAAAACAATCATAAAAATTGATATTTTGAAAGGTGGGGGGAAGTGGGAAAGAGCCAAAGCCATTAATGACTGTAACACTTTTTATACGCAAAATAAAGAATTGACTAAATGCATTACTGATTCATGTATCACAATGATGAAATCGGGGTTTTAAAATATCATCGAGATCGACATTTCCATTTTCCGCCTCTTTTTTTTGCACTGAGGGTGTTCGTTTTCATTCGGCTAAATTTAAAACCTCATCTGGATCCAAACATTGATGCTTTTCACTCTGATTTGAGTCTGTTAGATAAAAATTTAGACTTTAACCTATTTCTCGAAGCCTATTCCTTCGACCATTGTCTAGGTCTGGTCCGAGCCGTACTGAAGTTGTCTGATCGGAGTTACGTGCTAATTTCCATTAAATTGGCTGTTTTTCGCGAATTAACAAACTCGCGTGTGGGGCAGAGGACAAAAAGAATCAATGTAGCAAGAAATGAAAGCAAAAAACATTGAATCCTACCATTTGGATTGGTGGCGAACTCGGTTTGTTTCGACAGTACAATCTCTTTCTGCGACTCAATCGACACCTTCTCAAATGATCCATCCATTTTGGCTTGGAATCCAGCTAGGATCTTGAGGTAGAGCGACCTTGTAGTGTCAGTCACCGGCCCATACGTACTGCAATTCACATCTCGAAGTCTTTGAAAAATCTCCGCATTGCTCAACTGGCTCAGATTTTCAGTCACTCGAATTGAATCCTGTTCCTCATTTGGGATTCCAGAAAACTTCGAGGAGTTGCAATTTCTGTCAACTCTAGCTTGAGCTTGATCTTTTTGAGAGAACTTTTCAGTCGTGTTTCGCGATGATTCGTCTCGGGTCGATGCCGTACGACACGACTTCCAATCGGCGGCACAAGTAACAAAGGAGGTGTTCAAAGAATGATCACTCAAATCATTAGTCAATAAAGACTCGTCCGATTTTGGTTTGATGAAAACCTGCTCGAAAATCAAATCGCCTTCTTGAATTAACTCACTGCTGACTTTTGAAACATTGCTAAGTCGCTTACCTTCTGATCGCTTGAAAATGGACTTGTAGAACTTAGCAGGTGAAATTCTTTGCGAAATGTTTGAACGACGTGAACTGTTTTCAGAAGGAACACCTAAATTTTCTTTTGAATCGGCAGATAAATTATTATCGTCACTAGAATTAGAGTTTGAAGGGAAACTGCATGTGTGATCTGAAAATGTAACTCGCCTCCCGGAGTAACAAGTCCTTTTGGAAGTTGCCGAACTGCGTGTGAGGTTATGATGACGGCTGATCTTTTCGAGTCCGGTTCGGAACCCATTCGTGAATTCGTCCCGAAACATCGACTCTCCTCCGCGAACAATTGAAATGTTCGCGTTTTGCGAAGAATTTGAGTTTACTTTCGAACCAAATTCATGGCATTTGGACGACTGATGGATAGAGTTTAACTTTTGACGTTTGCAACTCTTAGATTTCTGATATTTTGCTGTGATTTGCGGTGCAGAATTCTTGTTTTCGCTGTTTATTGTATCCCATAGTTCGGAATCGGACATCGGCTCTGGCGAGTTCCGATTTGGTGAGTCATAACTAAATCGAGGTTGGCTGGTCCTGTTTTTGATGGACTTGCTTTTATCCGCGAGAGATGATTGAGCAGTATTGTTAACGGTTGCATGTGCGACACACATCTGATTTGAGAACAAATTTCTGCTCGCTTGCGAATTATTCAGAGAGACATTTTGGTAACTTTCAACTGGAGTGTTCAATAGATCCTTTTCAGCTTCCAAGTTATTTTTCTTTTTCCAAAACAGGAACGGACTGTTTGAGAAAGACTTTCTAGACTTCGTTGCTTGGTTATTCAGAAGAATTGAATTATTCTCTGAATTTACACTTTTTTGTAGTTTTTCATTGGATAATGACAATGACCTTCTAGATACTGCGACTGTTTGCTCAAGTTCCGAGTTTCTTCGATGTCCAGAACACTTACAAGTACAACTAGGTTCCTTGCTTGGAAATTCTTTGCTGGCAATGACTGGATTATTAGGCGATGATACATCCAAATAAGCGCTTGGCTTCAAATGAACCGCTTCGCCGTCCAGAAGAGAAATCTTATCCAGATCGCTTTCGGTGATCTGCATGTTAAGTAAGTTCTGAGCGCTTTCAATTGAGCTGGCAGTAGAACCGGAATTTGATTTCTGGCTAGAGAGACTTTCAGTTCCAGAAGATGCCTGCTCTCCATCGCTGCCACTGCTGAAAGAAGACATCTCAGATTTCTTCAAACATTCGTCGCTCCCCTGTTGCGAAGAAGAACCCTCGCGTTGTTCGGTTTTGAACGTCTCGTGTTTGATCGATCGCCTTTTGTTTTTAAGTAGATTAGCTGGCGAAACAGCAGGAAGAGACTTGACTAAGTTCTTCATGATGTTTTCCTTTCCTGCATGACATTCGTACCATAACTTCAGTTTTCCATCCATCGGATAACTGAAGTTCATTCGCTTGTCTGAACAAAAGCATCGTTCACATCTAGCCACGATGTTTTCACGCGGCTCATCAGTCTGGTCTGAAGGCGACTTTGTGCTGTAGTATTTGGAGAAGTGTACGCCCATAGATTTCATCATCATCTTCTCGAAGTGTCTTTTCTTTTTCAACGATGCGCAAAGGGCGCAATCTTTGCAACTTTTGTCCCCGAAAGGCATCGCGTGATGATGTGAGTCACTTGAGGCTCCTGAAACGTTCTCTAACTGAGTATTCAGCTGACGCGCTGTAAGCAATAACTAAGATCTTACCAAACGCATTGAATACTTAAGTGAACAATATACCAAGATCAGCAAGCAGCAGCTCATTCAATAATGCTCTTCTAAATCCACTATTAAAAAGTTTTGCCACCCTTTGCAAAATATTTGACAAGCAAACCGGCTATATTAATGCCTCAGTCAAATTTTTATAAATCATTTATGCCCGAACTTTTTTTGTAGGAGCACAAATTTATTTCTGAATAACTTTATTTAAAAACTAATACTTTCGAGTGCTTACCTTGAGAGCAGCTCTTTCCGCCCATCGCTTTGCCGACCAATTGGCTGTCCAGGTTCATCAGCGGGTGTCTGTGTTGTCGCTTCAATTTCACAGATGAGAATGGGGTGTGAAGAAGGTCCTGTTCTTCGCTGTTCGAGGAGGAGTCACTGTCACTACTCGCACTCTGCTTCTGCTCACTCAAGTACTTCTTCAGAACTCTCCGCACCTTGAGCAAATAATAAACAATTTATTCCCAGATTCAACTGCCTTCTTTCAAGAAACATACAAACGTTTTTATGAAGATCCTCATTTGTACACGAGGGAAAGGACCAACATTGGAAGACTAAATCCAAGTCCCCCCCACATATATATACCAAGTAAAGATCCACTCCCACTACTAAATTTGAATTAAAACTCCTCAATCCTGCTTATAAATAACTCGATTCTGACAGGCTCAAAAACCCAACTTGGAACCAAGTTAACATCTTCCCAACTAACATTTAATAATACGTTTCAAAGTCCTCCTCTTACCAAAATGATTTACAGCGTCTAACTGCAAAATAATTTAAACATAGAAAACAGGATCGCTCCAGATTTTATACATTTTGAATCGCCTTATATCGATGTAACATTGCCTATTGACTAACCTTTTCGCTCTCCCATCCGTGGTGGAATGCGGACTTCTCGTCGTGGTCCAGAATATCTGGGTCCCCTCCGGAGGCCAAGAGTAGCTTCATCGCCTTCGGCTTCTCGAGAATTGCGCTCAGGTGTACGGGTGTGATTCCGCCACAGGTAGCTCTGAAGAACATGACACATTTTTCACCGACAAAAACTGATCCAGAGTGAAACTAGATACTATTTGAAAATAAATAAAATTCAATTTTCCCAAATTCTGAATCTTGGACTCAATAGCCATTCTTTACGTAGTTAGGTTTTTATGAGAGGCGCACTTTCGCATATGAATGATATGATTTATATCTGATATAATAAGTTAAGTAATATCAATAAATGAAATCATGTGAAATTCTTGTAATCAATTTCTCGCTTTCGATACCTAAAAACGCACATCCCAAGCTATAAAAGATTAATTCAGTAGATACATTGTTACGGTTCCACTTGATAACACGGATAGCCCGTTACTGTGCAAGTAGCTCAACATGTTCCGACCAGTATTAAAAAATACATACAAAAAGTTTTTTTTTTCAAATTATTTTCGTTTGTTCTGCGTGGTGCGATAAGAAATCTGAACAAAAAATTGACCTAGACACATTCGACATTCATAGTAAACTAGGCCAATTGGAAAACAGCTTTTGTAGAAAAATGTCTAATTTTTGATTCCCAAATTGGCTCTAAAAACTCCAAAAACTACCTTAACTCGAGTAAAATTAAATTTTCACAGCTGAAATTGAGCATAAATAAGCTTTTGTAAGCCTGCTTAGCCTCACCTTATTAGTTTGAAATTAGACCAAAAATCAAAAATTGGGTTCGACAAAGAAAAAAAATTTCACGACTGAAAGGGCTTTAATATAAGATCTTACTTGACCCATTCCCAAGATTATTTTTTGTACCTGATTTTAAGTGGAAAAAAACTAAAACACACCCGAATAGAAAGTTCCTCCACATTTTTAAAATGATCGGAATAACCCCTTACCTTCCCTTCCTTTGCAATAAAATGAGGCGGTGGCGTCTTATCTGAATTAAGGCAAAAATTTGATATTTTTAAGGATTCGCAAGCTTATTCAATATGCGGATTAGTTGGAAGCCAGCAAAAACTCAAAATTAAGATTCAAACACAGACTCAATTTAATTTTCTGTTTTGGACTGCTTAAATGAAAAGAGGCGATATATTGAAGAGATCCCACTTTTTGTCATACTCTTGTAAATGTGAAAATATACTTCCACCTGGCAATTAAGTGTTTCTCTTTTGTTTATTTGATCAAAAACAACCAGGACAGTTATTGGAAGAAAATGGATCTAATTTATGAGAAATAAACAAAAAGGAACAGGACTACACAATGAGCTGATCAAAAGAGGCGGCACCATCGCCTAATGATGAGAATTAAACTGAATTTAACTTATTGGATCCTGGAGACATAGATACTGACCTGACGTTTGGATTGGCCCCGTACTGCAGCAGAAGAGTGAGGAAGTCGAGGGCGTCCCCGACTGGTTCCAATCCTACAGCCACGTGCAAGGCCGCCATTCCTCCCCTGTCCCCACACAACACATCTCCCCTCGCACGCAACACCAGCAACACTTGACACAGACTAAAACACAAAAACACAATAACACTTAAAAGAAGTTGCCAAAAGTTATAAAAAGGTGTATAAAAATAACAACACACAAGACATTGCAAGAAAAAATTAAAAAATACTTTATGAAACCTACACACACATACAAGAATTGCCAATTTATGTGCAAATGGTATAAAAGATTCGTTAACGATTACAAGACAGTTGTTCTCGCAAGGGTAATGAAAAACTTTTTTTAAAAAGATGTTCTAATTCTGTTTAGAAAAAACTATCAAAAAAACTAAGAACTGGAAAGCTCGACTAGATGTAGAAAATTTTGAAATTTGATCTTCCAAAATCTTAAATTACGATGTTTTTTTCAAATTTCTCAGAATATGTGTCAAAAAAGCCGTTTTCGATAACTTTTGAGAGTCGAATCTTTTCAGGAGCAACTTAATCAAGTTTAGTTGACAAACTCTATCGAGCAACAATTGACTTCAGCTTAAAACAAAGGCAGGGAACATTTCAGATTCCTGAGGTCAGGATGATTGGGTGTTTTCAGCTGCAAATCCACTACTTTTCGAGAAAGTCCTAAGGCTCATTAGGGTTTACCCTCTGTCAGTACTGCAGATTCCATGCATCCAATATCAACAATTACTGTCTGAAACAATTTATCTCATACCCGTAGTGTTTATCGTGCACAGCATCCAGCAGCTTCTCCGCTAGCATCTGCTCTTCCTCTGATCTCGTCAAATTCTTCTTCACTTGTTTTCTGTCTTTGTTAGGGTAGTCACAATCTCCGTCAGGCGGGATATTTGTGATGTTCATTTCCAACTATCTTTCAAATTTACGTTTGAGGTGTAAATAACAATGAATGCCTCGCAAAATGATTGATAACTTTTTTCAACCTCTTAATTTACTTGATAACCAAAATAAATGCTTGGAAATGAAATCTACTTTTTCAATCTTACACTTTACTTTTTAGTTTCCCCAAATCAATTAGGTGAGTTTAATTGGTTTGATTGGTGCAGTAATGGTTAGATAGGGGATGTTGATTGCAATTGAGGCTTGAGGTAAAAAGCTTCAGGAGTTGGTCCAATTATGCGGACTGGTACTAGCTACAAGTAGAGTAAGTTTCCAGGTGTAATTAATGAGAAGCTCCTGTGGAGTTAATTACAGTGGAAACGTACAAGATTGTAAAAATTTCAAAAAATGTCAGATTTCACAAAAACCAACCATTATGTTGTCAAAATTTCCAAAGAGTATGAATAATTTGTTCATTCTAAAAAAATTGGTTAAGGAACAAATTAAAAAACTAGATTTTTTGTTTGTTCACACGTGTCACATCTGTTTCCATGTACTTTCTTTTTATTAACGAAAGAAGCTTCGTAGGTGTGAAAAATTAATTATTGGTTTAATCAAAACAATAATTAATAATTTTTTAAGCCTCCGTTAGCGCACGCGTGCGGTTACTTCGGAATGCGAGGACGTACTTTTATTAATTTCAGAATTTTGGCCCAAAAATATATATTAATCAATCACCTTGTTTACTAATAAACAAATGTGATCTGGATTCAAAGTAAACTAAATGCCATTTTAGGCACACTTATTTTTTCAAAACATATGTCGCTACATTTAGAAAATAAATATTAAATTCCAGTGAATTTTTCAAATTACAAAACACAACACAAAACATAACCTTACAACTCAAAAATCATGTTTTATTATTACAGAAAAACTTAGGAATACATTAAGACATCTATATTTTTCTTTAACGACTCAGTTAATTTTTAGGGGCAATTCTATCACAATATTGTACCATACTTTTGCGAGTTGTCGCGGTACCGATTAGTAGGTTATAGATGATTCAGATCAAATGGAAATAGACTTTTTTCTTCCCGAAAGAATTGTTCGAAGATAAAACTGAGCGATAGCGATCAAGTTAAAAACTGGGAAACTCAATTGAATTCAATATCAATTTTAAAATTCATAAATTTATTTTTAGATCAAAAGCATTAATATCCAAGACAAAGCAAGGGTTGAGTTTTCCTACTTCGGAATAATACGAAAAACAATTCAACGAATTTGAAATGACATCAACACTGTATTCGAACACTGGATTCGATTTTAAAAAAATTGGGTTAGCTTCAGGAAATTTTGATGCTCAAAGTTTGATTTCTAAAGTAGTTACCGTAGTTCAACAAGTTTTCCGACAGAAAATTAATGTGCTTTTTAGGAGGTATTTGACTAGTTGATCATTCATTCGAGCTTAGTAGAGAATTGGCCCACCATTCATTACTAGTCAGTTTTGAAATTTGCAATTCAATTATGCCTCTGAGGTTTTTGAGCAAAAAATCGTTTCTCTTTGGTGCCAAAAGTTCAAAAGAGTTACGAGGTCCTATGGATGTTTTTATCCAAATAAAATAACAATTTGGTTTTCAAGAACTTTTAGAAGAAATTTTTCCCAGAACAATTCAAAACTACGCTTGTTGCACGAAAAAAATTCCCATTGGTTTCAACAGCTTTTCGAATTAATTTTCTGTCACAATTTTACAATTCTTTGTTGCACTTTCTTTGATCTGCGCAGCAGTTCAAATTTTCAAATTCTTTTTATTTAGTCAACTTGTGCCGAATCAACCTTGATTGCATTCTCACAAAACTCCGAGATGACCCCGCATGTAAACATGTCACATGCCAACCAGTTGGTTGCGAAGCCCATATGTCCTCCGAAATTGTACTCTAACAGGGCAATAGGCGACGAACACTTCGCCAGTTCAGCATCAGTCGGAAACCCAGCCGGAGCAGAGAACGGGTCGTCTCTGGCATTTATCGCCAGAAGTGGTTTCTCAATCTGATCCATCTTAAACACTGGTCCCGCATCTGTGTAATAGTCCTCACACGATTCATATCCCGCCATTTTTGCCACAATCATCTGATCGTAGCCCTTAATCGTGTGCAACTCGTCTATAGTTTTTTCGCTCACGCCTATTTTAGTCAACATGTTCACGTGTTTTTTTGCCAGTTGTTTCAGCGAACTCGAAATTGGCTTGTTGAACAGGTAGTAATTGATGCCGGAATGGATGTCTTTACAGGACACAAAAGGATTCCAGGGCATTGATAAACAAACAGCTGCGGACACTTCTTTTTTGACCACACTTGATTTGCACATGGTATTGAAAGTGATCATGCCTCCTAATGACACGCCCATAACACAAATGGCTGACTTCGGGTATCTAGATCTCACGTGCTGCACAATAAGTTCCAAGTCGTTAAAAAACGAACCATAGTACAGCAGTGGTGTTTTGACCTCTGTATTATCTGCTCCTCTGTAAATATAACATCCACAAATCCATCCTTTTGAGACAAAATGCTCCACGTGTTTTATCAAGTATGTGGCTTTACTTGAATTCGTGATTCCTGACAAGAATATGATAACAGAAGCGTCTTCAGATTTTTTAATGTTTTCTTTTCCAGCCCAATCGACATTAACACAACCGCCATCAGGCGTGTTCAAAGTTTCGCGCTCGTAAGGGTAGTGCTGTCTGAAAAAATCGCGCATCAAAGAGGCCGCGACAGTCATAGCATGGCCCAGAAAACACCAGAAGGTCGGAACGTACGACTGTTTGAAGGTCGCACACTTCTCCGAGATCTCTCTCATTTTTGAATTGTCGGCCAGATGGAGTTTCGGCCTTTTGTCAGTCAGAAAAAACTTCAGCAGGTAGACGAAGGCCAAAAACAGAACCATAAACACCCAGTCAGCCATTGCGCCCTGAAAGAATTTTTGTCGGTAATTTGGGAAAATTGGTTAGAAAGTAAATAGCAAACGGTAGAGATATCGAGAGACAAATAAAGATAGCTCAAATAATATCAAGAAAGCAGAACTACTAATGATATTGCATCAGGGTTGTATGAATAGTAACCTTAGCCTCAGAAACCTGAAAGTTCCGAGATAAAGAAGTTAACTGTGAAATCTGAACTAGAACTAGCAGGTCAAATAGATCTGATTGAGGAAAGAAGGCTAGCTGAGTTCACAACTAGTTATAACTAGTTGTAACAAAGTGGGGTAGTTTAAGAATAATACAACACAATTTACACCCAAACAAACTCAGAAACGGACATTCAAGGTCGTGTACCAAGAGTAGTTATGTCTAATTCGCTAAGGCAATACTTGGTTATAAATTTCAAAATTTTCTGTAGACGCATTTACTGCATAAAGTATAAGAAGATTGAACCGGAGAAGGTTTCAATTGAGAAATTAGAAAATATGATAGTGAGTAGCACGTCTAGAAACAGATCATATAGCTTACAAAAAGTAACAAAAGTTCAGACTAAAAAATTATTTACCAAAAAAAGAGTACATTGAGACACTTCGACAGTGACGACAGACGTGATTAATTTTGGCGATAAGTTAAACGTGTCTCATACTTATCAAACCAAACTTGAAAAACAAACCTTGAAGAATTTCCGATGACGAACAGAGCCTTTTGTAAGAGTTACATAAGTTGGCCCAAAGAATAGTTTTTAACGAGGCTGTCCATAATTTTCAATGGTATATAGGATTAAAAATAATGACCGACTACTCAAGGCGCCACTTGAAAATTTAGGATTAATGGACCGAGAATAAATGTCATAAAATTGCAAAAAAAGGGAAATCTATGCGCGAAAAGGATGATAAAATCGAGCTTTTTGCAAAAAAGGGTTGTTGCAAATCGACTCAATCAATTCAAAAGTGGTTAAAGGTATATTAAAATTCAAGCTCTTAAAACTGCATCTTGTATTCAAATTTATTCAGATTCGATTGAATTTGATAGTTTTATTGTTCCGACTTTCGATACGAAAGTAACGGAATATTTGTGCTCGGGGTGGGTTTTTTTTTTCTTCAGACAAATTTCGACTTTTTAACTAGCCATTTCATTCAAAAGGTATTGTTGCCCTGAGCTTAAATTTGAAACGATATTTTACCTGTGATCATTTTTCGTAAAGTTATGGGGGTTTAAAGATTGCCATTTTGACCAATTTGGGACAATTAACGCGCGATAACGCGCGGACCAAAATCTATCACTTAGTACTTATTATGTAGTGTGGGGGGATGATTTAAAAAAAATCAAATTTTAGAAAAAAAAAATCATTTTTTTAATTACATTTAATTTTTTTATGTTATTACTGCTCCATAAAACCTAAAAAGCAGTCGGAACATTCAGGGCTCCGCCCTGATACGAGCAGTCTTGTTTAAAATTTGGGATCAACTAAAATCAATTCAAATCATTTTAGCCATCGAAATCTCTAAACTAGCAGTATTAAATCAACAGCAAACCAGTTTTGTCAGTACGCGCCTTCGGCGCCAATATATGCTAGTTTCTTGCGTACCAAAAAACGCTAACTTTTTTGTGTTAAAACCATCTCAAAAGTGTCAAAAAAAATGGCAGCCTCCTTAGTTTTTCCTCATACGTGCTTTTTCATTTGATTTAAGTGCCCTTTTATGAAATAAAAATTGAAAGAAAATATCGGGAACCTTCGGTTCTTGCTAATAAAATTCCTGAAAATATCTTTTGAAAAACATACAAGACTGCTCGTATCAGGGCGAAGCCCTGAATGTTCCGACTGCTTTTGAAGGTTTATGGAGCAGCAGTAATAACATAAAAACATTATATGAAATAAAATAAAATGAAATTTTTTTTTTCTAAAATTTGAAAATTTTTCAGAAAATCATCACCCCCACACGCCAGATAAAGTACAGAAAGATAGTTTTCGTTCCTTGGCAAACACATCAATTATGGCAAATAAGCTTCGTTCAACCAATTTGGAACGATTTATAAGACGGATTAAAACTCCGCTTAAGCGTTAATAGTGCGAATTATATCGCGCGTTAATTGTCCCAAATTGGTAAAAATGGCCAAAATCGCAATCTTTAAACCCTCATAACTTTTCGAAAAATGATCACAGGTGAAATATCTTTTCAAATTTAAGCTCAGGACAACAATAGCTTTCGAATGATATAAAAAATTTCCGTCAAAAATGGCTAGTTAAAAAGTCGAAATTTGTTTGAAGAAAAAAAAAAACCCACCCCGAGCACAAATATTCCGTTACTTTCGTATCGAAAGTCGGAACAATAAAACCATCATTGGTCGAAAAATATCCCCACATAAAAACGGAGCTAAAAATAAAATATCTTGTAGCTGTAGTTCAGAGTTGTAATTCAATTTGCTGAAAACAAAACCTCAAAAATGAACCGAGAGAAGACTAGGATAAACAAAATTTATTCCTAAAGACAAAATATGGAACATGCAAAATATCAGGATAATAGTAACCATATCACATACTTAGCTGCGCCGGTCTACAGAAACACTGGAACCTTGATACTGCCTAATCCATTTTCGGGGACAGGAAGCTCAGTCAATTCATACAATCAGCCTCTGCAAGACCCACCAAACGTTTGCTGGCAACTGAACGACAATCAGCCATAACACCGGCCACACGAGGCGAATGCTTGAAACATACAGGAGACTAGCGCACAGCCCATCCTCACGTGATCCACAGCATTAGATGGTTTCCTCTTCTGCTCACGACCCTCAGCCACGACTTTCCAATTTAGTATGACTACCTTCAAAAAGCTCCAGGGCCTTTTCACGACCTATACCGAACGCGAACCTCTACAACAGCCGTGTCTACAGAGCTATCTTTAAAATTCGTACCAGCCACTATAACTAAAAGCCTCCCAGCTAGTAAATAAAGCAGGAACCTAGCTGGAAAAGTCAACATAACATGACAGCATAACGCAGGATGGCACAAAAAACTCGTCGCCGAATTATTGAAAAAACAGATGGCAACGGCAAGATGCTCAGAAGCTCCTCGCCTCACCAATTCTATAGCAAATCGAGGAAAAGCAAGCAACTGTAACAAACGCCTTCTAAAAGTTCCACGCCGACAAACAAGAAAAAATTTCTTCTAACGCCGTCTTGAAACCACTATCCCCTCCACTCACTTTAACACGAGCCTATATCTACCGAGGCTCCACTGTCAAAACGGATCGCTCTCAGCCCCTCATGTAGTTTGCCTTTCAGAATCTCCCAGATCTTAAACGTCCAACTCCGCGAAGTTCCTTGCAGTTCACTGAGGAGAAATTTCCTGATAATTTTTGCTCTATTTCAAGTGTTTGGGCAGCGCTTTTACAAATCGCACAGCCTTGTTGGCACTTGGGACACCACCTAAATCCTTCAGTTTAACAGAATTGGGGACTAAATTGAGCAGCTCTTCTAACTCAAATGCCAAAGACGCAATGGGTCATCCGTTTTCACAAACAAGCTCGTCTTGCACTTCACTTATCAAGCCTACTCGCAAGGATGACCAAGCCTTCACTACCTGGCCGTCGATAAAATCTGCGCGACTTGTCGGCGAAGCTGGCACGGAATTTCTTCATCTCCACTTGCAGATAACCTGTGCCCGGGACACTGTAACAAGAAAAAATTCTAACAGCCAATCGGAACAATCAACCAAAAACTTCAAATAAATACAAAAAAGATTTCCAGCTTCGTTTTCCATCATCAAGCCCTCACTTGTTCAAAGCTAATCTGTATTAATTCTTTGATTTCGGCATATTAATAATGAAAAACACGCAGACTTTTGATATTTAATTGATAATTAACAAAATCTTCTAGAAATTAGATGTAGTTAAAAAACAAAAACACCTCCACGTATCGGAGATAACCTGAGATTGACAGATAACCAATGAAAGCAGCCGGAGAACTCTAAAGTATTTCCAATCACATCCTCTGTAAGCACAAATCGGACATACAAAGCCTATTTCTATTTACCTGCTCTTCTCTTAAACTCATTATTGATTATGTTACCTATATTTCGCTTAAATCACATCGTTTCACAAAGCCTATGTAGCCATTTCCCTTAATTATCTCTGTCACCTATTCACAAATGCCAGGGCTTACCTCATTCATCTTCGCTGTAAATTGAAACCTGAATTTGACCAATTTTCACGAGCCTTGCATTTTTACGGCCTTCATCACTCTTGAAAACCTTCTTCATTATTATTCAGCCGCAACTCTCTGCTAACTCGCTTACATCAAGTTCTCATTTCCTTTCCAACTGCTTATGTATTATCGCTACCAACTCCAACCTCAGACTTTCAACATTCACGGAGTTCCGAGCCCACCTCAAGGGCAGAATGAATAAAACAACAACGTTCCTTGTCCCACTCTACTACCCGCCACAAAGCTTAACGGCAGACATGGGATTCCTATCGTACTCCTAGCTCGTCGAGCCAGCAACCCCTCGTAACTACGGCTTTCCCCTAGCCTAGTTGGACAGTCGATTGACTCCTAAATCATGGTTGATGGGAGTCTCAACTGGCTGCAACTTCAATTGAATGACGACGGCCCGACGCAGAACAACAGGGACGAGAGCGGCTACTCCATTAAGTGAAAACGACACCAACCAGAAAGAAAATCGACCCAGTTATAAAAACAGAAAAGAAAAAACTGTATATACTTATAAACACATTGTTACGCCTTTTATAATGCATGAATATACTAGCAATCTGAGCTATAAAAAACACGAGAAATAACGGGCATAAAAAACAAAGTAAAGCATATTACCAAACCAAAAACATATCTCCGCGCCAATTCTGTGAGTTTCTAAGACAGTCAGAGCAAACTAAAACAGCTTCTGTTAAAGTTGCTTAGAAAACTTATAGCTTTCTTCGGTTTAGAAAAACAGTGTGCTCGAATAATATGCCAATTGCACAGCAACCAGCTACTTTTTTCTCAAAATTTTAGAAGACTCCGTGAAATAAATTCAATATTTTTATTCAGTTTATAGCATCTCGCGGCTCTTTTGGACGTAAAGCGTTTTTTCGAGATAAGAGATTTTTTTGATAAAATTTACCCAATTCAAAGAAAAAAGAAATTGGGCGATCATACTATGAGGAAACAAACAACCCAAAAACATAAAATTGATGCTTGAATATGCAAATGGTATACATTTCAAGGAAGCGGCAAAAACATTTAGAAAATTCACTCTGAAAAAAATCACCTCATGGAAATCACTTTTTATATAATAAACATACAATTTTAAAAATCAGGGCGGATTTAGGATTTTCTCGGGGGGAGATTTTCAAACAACTTTAGAAAAAATGCTGGACTTTTTGAGGTCGACCAAATTGATTTTCTGAACTCTCTCAAATGACTACAAAATATGGAACTCAAAAACACAAGGAAAACTGGAAAAACAATGGTAACTAAATGTAATAAAAAACTACGATTTTGAGAAGCAAAACTATTTAAAACAACTTTTGGTGGTAGGTCAGTAAATCGATGTACCAGTAAACTTAAAACGGCGGACGAGATTGCTAAATCCAAAATCCAGCATTCAGTTACGTTATCATAGAAATTGAAAACTAAGATTTTTAGAACATGAAAACATTGTTCCTTGAAACAGAAACTGCATCAAAAAAGAAAAAATTTTGCCTCTTGCCATGAGCCCCAGTTTTAAATTTTTGTTTTAGCTCAGAAAATTGTTTCTATAAACCTTTGATTTGACAATTGATGTAATTATTGTATTATTCGATTTACTGATATGGTAATGTACTGACACATCGGTTTAGTAAACGCACCCCCAGTTTTTATTCCGACTTTGCGATCTCTTGTTTGAATTCAAATCACAACCAAAAAGGCTTTTATATGTTGTAAATTTTTCCAGTCTCTAGGGGTGGCTGGCTAAAAACCAGGTAATGATTCCCAATTGAGAGTATCTCACAGAAAGTCATTCTTATATGCATAGGTTTCTTCATTAAACATTTCGCTGAGTTTTCTATGTCAGCGCTACGCTTCATTTCTCATAGATATTCCATTTAAATCACTGATATTGACCTGCGTTAATTTATCTGAAATGAAACTTCATAATCTGAGGGTAAACTGGGCATTGAATATCAAACAAACCTTCAAACGTGCTTCGTTCTCTGACAAATCTTTGCTCCCAAACTTCTATGTGCGACAGCAAATGCGATCAAAACTGAGATCAAAAGTCAGCATCAAATTTGAAACCGAGTTTGCATTTGAAGACATTGCAATGACAACAACTAGTCAATGATTGTTGCCCAGCAAACAAAATTGCCGTTCAAAACACAGAAACAAACGGGATAAACTTACTTCCAAACAATCATTTGCGCTTCAAAGTCAACTCAGTTGATCAGTTTGATCAGTTTGATCAGTTGCAAAAAGTTCGGATAGACATAATTCATTAAAAAGAGCAGCTATTTTACAACAGTTAGCAAAAAGTTGGAACAAATAGAATTAACTAAAAAGAGCAAATGGCCTATTTCAGAAAACGTTTGCTTTTCAGACAAAAATGAAGTCTCAAGGTCGTTTCAAGCTTCATGCAAAATTTTTTCAATATTTGCAGATTACTCTTTTTAGTTTTTTTTTTGTTCCAACTTTTTGCACCTGTATATTTCGAAAAAAAACTTGCATGCTAAAAGTAATTTTCCAGACAAAAGTCGAGTCAGGAGATCTACTTAATAATTCACCCAAGAAAGGGAGGTAATTTTTAAGTGGATTAAGTAAGTTAGTCGAAAATTCAACCAATCAGAATTCAACAAAATTCGAATTATGAATAGAACTCTCTAGTGCTAATTTACTATTTTTTGATAGGGGTGGCAATTCTTTATTAAATACCATAGGGGAGGAGGGGGTAAATTGCTCATTTGAATCAATTCTGTTCAAATTTTTAAAACAAAATATCAAACAGTCAGAACTATTTAGCAGAGCAATTAACCGAGCTTGATCATATTGGAGTTTTGGAATTCAGATGACCTTGACACATAAGTTCTGTCTGACAAAAAGTTTTTTACACACGATACTTTTTGAAATGGATCATTTGTCCTTCTTCATTAAGTCTGTCTTGCAAACTTTTTGAAACTTCGTATAAAAAATTTACAGAACTATTTGAAAAAGAACTAAAATACAGCCACAATTAATAAGTATTTGGACAGATTGGTTTTGAGAGCCTATTTTTTACGCAACTGCTTTTCATGTTGAAATTTAAAATGATATGATATAATGAACTTTTCAAACTTAAAGCATAACTAACACATAAAAGGCCGTTTATAGGTACGTATTCGATATGTCCAGTAATTTTTAAGAAAAATTCAAAGGATATATATGGCAGCGCAGTTGCCCATTCAGACCTGCGTAGTTTTTGACGAGTCCAAATCATTGACCACGCCAGTGCTGAAAATTCAAAACTCAGGAACTAGAAGTGACTCGATATCGATAAAGCAGATTATTCGGCGTTGAAGTCAGCGAAATTTTGATTAAGTATTTGGCTCATCAGTTTTTTCAAAGGTCAATTAAATTCGCCTAAAATGAAATCCCTCTTGAAATTACAACTGTTTGTCCGAATACTTCATAAAATTTGACAGTAGATAACCGCCCTCTTTTTTTTTTACTGTGTTGCAAAAAACTTTATCCAATAATTTATCAACATAAAGTTTACTCTCAATCAATTCGGACTTTACATTCAATTTACTCCAAATCAAATCAAACCAGTTATTTTTACATTTACACCAATGGGAGAGCCCGAAAACGAGTTGGCAGCTAAGCTCAACAGACGACAGCAGCTGAACGATGAAGAAATTGCCCCCGAAATGGTACAAGTGAGGCGCAAGGGCTCCCTGTACACAAAGAACTCCGATATTCCCAAGAAGACCATCGACGATATCAGCAAAAAATTCAGGTGAGCCTCTTTGTTCCTTTATGATATCGACAGTATGGAAAAATTTTAACCAACACTCGCGACAGAATATGAGCACTAAAGGTCGTTTGTCGCAGCAAGAGAATGCTGTTTTGGAGCCCTTTTTAGAAAATTCTAACCAAAATTTTTTTTCGGCACTAGCTCCTAATTAAATCAAAACACTGGCAAGAAATATTTAAGGGTCTATCGGTCGAAAATGAGTGTCGTTGAATAGTACCAACGGGGGACGCCGGGGATGGTCAAGGACCATTGGGTGGGCAGGTCGTCGAATCCCTGAGGATAGGGGGTGTATCCTCATTGAATCCGCAACTGAAACAACCACGGATAGCCGGTTGTGCAAGAAGCACAAACAATTCAGATTACAAAAAAATTGAATTAACTCAGAAATAAAGAAAATTTAATTAACAATTCCGGAATTTTTTTATGTAAAGGCGATTGACATAGGTCAGTTACTTAGCATAGGTCAGTTACTTAACTACCAGAGGTAAATGAAGTGGGAATAATTCGGGGCTTCATTTTCTGATCAAATTTTGTGTCATTTAATCTGTAACAAGTCGGTCAGTTTTTCTCCACACTGAGACAATTTTTGATTCTTTTGAATCGAACAACAATCAGTAGGGTTTCAATAAGTTTCACCTCTTCAAAACCTTACTTCACCTCTTCTGAGGTTCCCTTGAGATACGTAAAATCGGATGATAAAATAACCCAATCTACGCAATGGTTTCTTCCAAAAAAACGTTGTAAGAGGTCGAACCAATAAGACAGTAATCAACCGTGTTGAACCAGTTTTTTTGTCGAAAAATTCTTCACACAGTCGAAGCGGAACTTAACAATACTTATGATCCTAGAAAATGAATCGAAAATTTGGGTCGACCCCGTTAAGACAAAAAATACACTATTGTCATCAAAAATTTTAAACTTACAAGTTTAACAGAGAGGAAGCTGAGCTTAGCAAACACTAGAGAGAGCACGAAAAAAAGCAGCCCTATAAATAAAAATACCAAAGTAGAAATGAGCCTCAAGCTGGTAGTAAAAATTCTGCTACGTATCGTATTCAAACCTTCAACCTAGAGAATGAGAGTATCACGCCCTTGCCTCTCAACCACGGACGCTTTACAGTTGATGAGCACTAACCACAAAGAAAGCAGAGAACTTATTCTATGAAATTTCTAATGCTACACCAGCACTTTTTTTGCGAGTTAAATTGGAAAAAGTCGAACCATACTAATACACTACGCTCGCAAGCTCACGAGAGTTTAAAAAAATATCATTCTTGCCTCCAACCAGGGAGGGTATCACAGAAAAACATAAGAACATATTTTGCCCTTGAAACTACAAAAAATTTACTATGCAGATATAACGTGCCAAAACCGTTTAATAAAAAAATAATCAGACTTGGAAATTTACCACATTAAAAAACTTTCACTAAAGTATAAGCTTACTTAATCACAATGAAACGCATGCTCTGTAAAGAAAACCATTAAAAAACTTAACCGGATAATCTAAAAAAAAAACGGAAAATGAACCGACGGTAAAAAGGACGAAAACCAAACCAAAATCAAAATTTTCCAGGAAAGTTGTTTAAAAAATGATCACTGCCTGATATGAATGCCACCTCATTACTGCCTAACGTAAGGGATGGTAATCTATTATATTTTGAAATGCGCGCTTCGCTATCTTGCCATATTTATAATTTTTGAACATTTTGTCAATCTTTTTGTAAAAACTTGAATCAGAAACTTGAAAACAACAGCCCTGTAAATGGTACTTTCAGAGTTCACATGTCTTGTTTTTTAATTTGACTGCTCAAATCATCTTAGTTTCCAAAAAATGCCGTTTATTATGATTTTTCAAAATTCGACGCTAGTTTTGAATTTTCTGCTCGTGAAATTTACTATTCCTATTATATTGACATTCTGATCGCAAGGGTAAACAATCTATTGTACGTGACTATAATCAAAACTAAATTCGCAATCAACTTTGAAAAACTAAAGAACAATGGGGATACAAAAGAAGAAACAAAAACTTCATTAAGCAAAATGGATGGCTTAATAAACTTCGTGGAAAAAAAACGATTTGAAATAGAACGCAAAAAAACTCTCCATAAATGAAATGAAGTAAGAAAATTCGAACATAGCCAGCAGACAGCTGGAAAAGAGTCAAAGAACGCAGTCAATGAAGAGTCAATGAAAAAAAACAGAAACATAACTTAAATCTTCGAATTTCAAACAATATATAAATGGCCGTAAAACTCGTTGAGTTTCAAGAAAAGTTTCTGAGTGACACTTTTTAAAAAAAATTAACCCAGTTTGGGAAAATTGGATTAGTAGGTTAAGTTTTTATTCCGCTGGGGAAACCTGAAAATTAAAATCCACTTTCGAATTTAGAAGTCAATCACCTCTTTTTTTGTACCATTACTGCTTTCGTAATTAGAGAGCGCAATTTGCCTAATTTTTAGCAGATGAATTGGAATGGAATTCAAAAAGTGTATATACACCTAAGTGCATCCATAAATTCATTGCACGTCTGTAGTTACTCGAGCCTTTTTCCTGAAAAAAAAACACCAAAACGTACAGAACAGTCTTCTGTACATTTATCGAATCTTACCAAAACTTTTGAACTCAAACTGTTTGCTTTTTTCGAGACAATGCATCACAGAAAAACAATGTGCGTTTTGTAAGCTCAAACAATAACTTTTCATGTTTACAAAAAAAATTATTTTAGTGAATTTGACGATGATGGGAACGGACTGCTGGACGTGTTCGAGCTGACTCGCCTGTTTGAGAAGTTGAATGCACCCCAGACTAGAACTGCAATAAAGGCGATGGTGGCCAAAGTGGACAAGGACGGAGACGGGGCTGTGAATCTGGAGGAGTTCGTCCAGTTGTTCAGAGAGGCAGCCTCGGACCAGTTCGACGATGACTCCATATTCAAGAAGTTCGCCGCTCTCACCGAAGTGGACGTCGACGAGGTAACAGTTTCAATTCGAATGATTAGAGTTATTGCATAGACCAGCCAATATTACTGAGCAGTGAAACTTCAATACACTTGCTATTATTAAAAGTAATGAACGTACTCTTATATAGGTCTTGCTGATTTTTTAAGTTTTTTCAGGATAGTCTTAAAATTTGTTCACGCTCAATTTTGATTTTCGCGGTTTGACTTTTGATTTCTTTCTGAAATTCAGTTCATTTCTTTTGTTCGAAGGAAGGCAAACTCACTATCGAACAGCAAAAGTGTAAAGGTCATCAAAAACGTGATCGACTTCTAGTTACGAAAATGGAATGTAATTATCAGATTTCCCAGCGAAACAAAAATTTTACCTATCGATTCAGTTTACTCAATATGGGTTAATTTTCTCAAAAAATTTTAGTCAATCATAAATTGTTCTAGAAATTCAAAGAGCTTCATTAAAATTCAAAAATTGAAGTTTTTTCGAAAATCATGTCAGTTTTTTTTGTTTTCTTGCGTTCTTTACTCTTGCAACTGTCAGTCCAGTTGGCTATCTTAGTGTTATAAAACTTTTTGCAGAAATTTTTGAGCTTATGATAATAATTGCAGCGGGCTAGGCTAATATAAAACAAGTGCATTTTCAGTCCATATTTAAGTCAGTTGGATTTTGATGTTTCTACACTCTCTGGGTTTGTTTTTCCAGGTGGGTGTAAAGGGGGCGCGTGACTTTTTTGCGGCCAAAAGTAGAACAGCTCAAGACAACAGCCTCGCAGCCCAGATAGAGATGGAGAGGGAGGAGGCGAAGAGGAAAGAGAAGGAGAAGCAGGAGAGGCGGGAGAAGATGGACCAACTCAGACAACGATTCGACTCCAAGTCCGAAATTTGATCAAGTACAAGCACTGTAGTTGGATCGGGTCCTTGGCACAAAATGACCTCAAAATTTGCAAATTTGTACAAAATGGTACCACAAGACACAAGATTTAAATGACATGCTTTTTGGTATACTTGCTAGAGTTTTTTTTCATATGTTTGTGAATGGCTATCTCGATGATTTCAATTTTTAAAATTTCCAAAATTGGAAAACACTCAAATTTGTTAAATTGTGTAGTTGCAAAAAGTTCGACCATCTCCCATGCTTGCTTTTTATAGGGAGCCAACTACCAAACTTGTACCTTTGACCAGCTTTATTATTTCGAAAAAAACTTCCAATTCTTTCCAAAAACAATTCAGACGGCCCGGGCTACGTAAAAGCTGATCAATTGTAAAAGATCATCGATTCGGGCAATTGTAAAATTCTTTAATTCGATTGAATTTTAAATTAATTGAAATTTTACAGACGCAGATATAGAATAAAATAATAATTGACCAATTGATAACTAGATTTTATCATTCTAAGAGAAATTCAACTATTTTACTCATCTCCAAGTTGCATCTTTGTGCGGAAACATTGTCACCATGCGAACAATCAAAAACAATGACAAAAATGTCTTATTCACTGTGTTATTTGACGCAATATTTTATTTCCGATCTCAATGCGAAGCTTGTTTATATACTACATCAAATTGCAAAAATAGGGCACAAATTTGTTTTTTTTTTTTGCTATGCAATTAGCACGAACCAGCGGAATTACGTCAACCGTAAACGTTCAATATTTGTTCTGTCATTAGATTCAACCAACGTCTCAGGCTCATATATCAAGGCAAAGACCTGAAGGTTCTGACTTCCATTCAAATGGTCTCCAATAAACCTTGGTAAAAAAAATAATTTTTTTTAACGGGAGTGATAATAATTCGTGTTAAATTTTCAGCATCATAGGTAAAACTGAAAGCACTAAACGAGCAGTTTAAGTTGGTTCAAAGTGCATTTACGTTCCAGGTCAATAAACTTTACGATTCTTAAGTGATTGGCATGGCATTAATTCGTAAAAATAACCAACTTTGAGAAACTGGTTCAATGAGATATTTTTTATTCCGCTGAACTGAATCATTGAGTCAAAAACCAATTTTGAGAGAGTATAGGATTAAATTTGAGCATTTGAGCTAGGGTTGAATTTGAGCATTCGGACATGTAAATTTGAGTCCAAAGTCTTATCCATCTCATAAATAATATCAGCAATTTGTAGGAAACAAAATATTAGGTCAATTGGACAACAGTATTAAAGCCGACAACCAAATAGCTGAAAAGCAACCAAAATTATTCGACAAAATCTTATTGGAAAATATACATGTACTACCAAAATAGTATCCACGAAATCCATGAAGGTACTGAAATCGAGTTGGTATACACAATTCGGAAACTAAACTGAGAGCAAAATCGAAAAATTATCAGCAAAAAAAATATCGATGTTTTATAACAATACAAAGAACCAATCTATCAAAATGAATGAAGATCGTTTTGAAAAAAACATGCCAAGACCAGGGGCGGATTTAGGGGGGGGGGCGGGGGGGGCGGACGCCCCCCCCCCCCTCAGGGATTCCACCCCCTGCCGACCCAAAGGGTCCCCCCTTTGATACTTTTTCAGAAATCCATTTTTGGCTGACCGACCCTAAAATTTTTCTAAAGGCGCCTTCGGCGCCAATACATACTAACTTTGAGGGGGAGCGCGCGCCAAAAAAAAAACGCGATTTTTTGTCAAAATTTTTCAAAAAGTGCCCAAAAACGGCTTTTTTGACTGTTTTTTCAAAAATTTGCCTGCGGCGCACAAAATTTAGCCGAAATAGGGGCAAAACAGTGCTTTGGGAGAGCTCGAAAAATCACAATTTGGTCGACCTAAAAAAAAAAAAAAAGGTCGTCAAAATTTTCGAATTTTTTTTGAAAATCCGCCCCCCCCTCGAGAAAATCCTAGATCCGCCCCTGGCCAAGACAATAGAATGCAAAACTAGAATCGAAACCAAGCGGTAACAAAACAAAGCCCTTCATGTAGAAAATAATTCTTGATGAAAAAAAATCGAGTCCCCTTCCCCCCAGAATTCACACGCACACAAAACCTTTTCTCGGTCATCAAACGATGCAATAAGGGGCCACTAAGTAGATATAATAAAATAAGCCGGAAAAAGTTTAGTCGGATTTTTAACTTGATGAAATTTGATTGCACTAAAAATAAACGATTCTTAGAACTGGTGACTAAGCCGACAAAACATAAATTGACAAATCTCATGCCGAAATTCTCTTGAACCGGAATTTTTGCCGTTTGAAGAAAAAAAAACAGGTCCTGGGCAGATTCGAACCCAGGATCTTTGCCTTTCCAGGCATATTCGTTAACTCCAGGAGAAAGTAAGAAAATTGATTTTGTTATGAGACAAGGTAGCACCAGGAGTCGATGAGTCCTGTAGACAAAGTTGTTTATGGGAAAAAAGTCTAGTACCCGCTAGCAATACCCTTGCTTATCGCAAGGGTAAATAATTTATATTCCCCTGAATTGGATCATTTTGTCAGCAAAAATTTGCAAGCCTGAATGAATCTTGAGAATTAAAAAAAATTTGAGGCCACACGTTTTTCAAACTCGAGAAAAGTTGAAAAATAAAGTCAATCAATGATTTTTCCTATAAAGTTTGACACTTTTCCAACGTCAAGTTTCTAGAATTTTGTGTACCGAAATTATTTCGAGACCGATCCAGTGTCAATTGGAAAGCAAAGCGCTTTGTCAATATAGTTTTGTTAGTGCTGGGTTTTATTATTCCGACTTTCGAAAAAAACACGGAATTTTTATGCTTCTTTTGGTTTTTTTATTCAGTCATTTTCCGGCGATAGAAATAATTTTTAACAAAAATTTAACACAGAGGCGAAGTTGCACTTCGCATACACAAGCAAAAATATGACCGATAACGCTACTGGGAAAAACTGAATGAGTAAAATGAGTCTACATAACTGCTAAGTGACGCAAGCAAATTAAGACGCATTGGCAGTACCAGCCAATTTGAAAAAGAAATTTATCAACGAACATGCCTCAATTTAGAGAGCGGACGCATTTAAACTATTATACGAAGTTCATTAATTACAAGTAGTTCCAAATTCATTGAAAAAATCCGACCCTGCCCATGTTCGAACCCTCTTACTTTGCTGATGGTCTCCTTCCCTGACTCTACGCCACAGATCCATGATGCCTTGAAGCTAAAGTGCTATTTGCAATATTTTAGTCTGTGTTAATATCCTTAGCATTGGCTGTACTTATTAGCTGGATCAAAATGAACACATTTTGTCGCAACAATTGCATCGCAAGAATATTTGCGACTTAGGTTGAAAAAAAAAGAAAGTGCATAGTATAACACAAGCTAAGCTTGTGTAAAACGATATTTCACCTTCGATCATTTTTGCAAAGTTTTTGATGTTTGAAAATTGCCAATTTGGTCATGCTCTGGATACTTTCAAGATTTTTTTGCGCACTTGCAAGATTTTATCCATAATACTGAAAAATTAATGCAAATTATTTATGCGTGGCAAAATATACCGCACAACAAAAACATTCCAAGTCGAGTTGAGGCTAGCTTCTCGGTCGTATTAATTTCGTAAGACTCAAGTTTTCATACTTCATCTTTGATATTGTCAAAAATTTAGGTTTTCAATATGTTCTTTTCTCATAAATACTTTTCAATATAGATTAAGCGGCAGAGGGAACACTCAGGGCTTTGCCCTGATACAAGAGCAGTCTTGTTCTGTTTTAACATTGTGTTGTTATACTTCCACAGCAACCAGTTATTTTGCCCATTTTGTGCTCGGATGCATCTTATCTGATGCATTTTGGAGATCTAATAAACATTTCATTCGCAGTCAAAAGTCATGCATCTTTTTTGGACTTTGTTAACTATCCCTCCTATGCATGTATTAATTTTGACAACCATTTACGTATGAAATATGCATTTGAAAAATGTCAACAATTAATAAGGTTTTCAATTTCGGGCGTTCGTGTTTGTATTACTTACTATTTATATAATTCCTACATTAAAATTTTAAATTAAACATATTTCCTGAAAATTGTTTTAATTCTAAATTGGCAGCCAAAGTTGAAATTTCTGAAAATCGAAATGGGGGGGGGGGGGGGCGAATAGTTAACAAGATCTAAAGTCATTTATTCGGTCATTTTGTTTCATTTGAAACTGCACGAATCAACGAATCATAAAAATAACGAGAATTAGTTACGATATGCTAACTTGTACAGCTTTATTTCAGTCCAAAGCCCATCCCAATTTTTAGATTTTTGTTGTTGCAGATTTGACTTATTAAACTGTGCTACTTGCACAGCAGTCAAATCTTCTCGTTAGGCGATTAGTATTTATGGCTTTTTGTTCCGACTTTCGATACGAAAGTAACGAAATATTTGTGCTCGGGGTGGTTTTTTTTTTCTTCAGACAAATTTCGACTTTTTAACTAGCCATTTTTGACGGAACTTTTTTATATCATTCAAAAGATATTGTTGTCCTGAGCTTAAATTTGAAAATATATTTCACCTGTGATCATTTTTCGTAAAGTTATGGGGGTTTAAAGGTTGCCATTTTGGCCAATTTGGGACAATTAACGCGCAATATATTTAGCGCTATTAACGTGTAAGCGGAGATTTAATCCGTCTTTTAAATCGTTCCAAATTGGTTGAACGAAGCGTATTTGCCATAATTGATTTGTTACACGGAACGAAATCTATCTTTTTGTACTTTATATGGCGTGTGGGGGGATGGTTTTCATAAAAAAATTTAAAGTTTTAGAAAAAAAACTTCATTTTATTTTATTTCAGTTCATTTTTTCTATGTTATTACTGCTGCTCATTAAACCTTAAAAGGCAGTCGGAACATTCAGGGCTTCGCCCTGATACGAGCAATCTTGTTAAACTTTTACCCTCACCGCTATGAAAAAAGGCGAAGGATGTTAACTTGACTTAATTTAACTATTCGCTTTATTGCGAAAACGACCTAGAGCTCTTACAACATCAAACACTAAATCTGGATTGTTCATCTAAATTTTTTTGAACGAAAAATTGATTTTTCATTTTTTAATACCAAAGACAATCAAATTGCTATTATTAACTATAAATTATAATAAATTACACAAAAATAACTATTAATTTCGTAATCCCAATTCAAGTAATTTTAATTAGAAAGACAACCCACATAAACACAAGACAAACAAGGCCCAGAGGCAACACCAGCCACCATTGACATCCCAGAGGTTTGGTGTTGGACACCCGAATAGTCTCAGTTTGGAGTTTGTCGTAATTAGAAGCCGCCACATCATTAGCCCGATTCAAGTTCTCCTGGTCTTTTTTGATAATTTCATTAGCTGTCAAACTCGTCTGTTTCAAACTGCGAGCCAACTTCAGCATATCATCTGCTATTTTTTCCTGCACTGCCTGGTGTCGATTTAGAATGGCTTCCACTGACTCATTTGTCGCAGAATCCTCCGCCTCTTCAGCTAGCCCTGTTTTATTACGTAATCGAACTGCAGCGTTATTACTTCGGAGCAGTTCGTTTCGCATGTCTTTTAAAGGCTGAGCTGAAGTTTTGGCTTGCAATTGCACGTGACCTGAAGTTGAACTACCATTAACAATTTTCGCATTTGCTCCACCGACTGAAATGTCATGTTGTTTACTAGAACTAATTTGATCCGTTTTGGCGAACTCTTTGTGATCGGAATCTGAATTTGTGATATTTTGGGTCTTTTGGCTTGCCGTCTCGGAGATAGTCTGGTTCAAAGAGTCTAACATGTCATCTTGTTTCAGGTATTTATTATCGATATGTTCTGCTTCACAATTATTTCCGTTGTCTAACGAATTCTTCATTGTTTGTAAATTAGTTTCTAGCAGTCCGATCCTCTGTTTGTAGTCACTGAGGTCTTCTGTGCTCGGCTTCTCGACCGGGTTTCCATTTTGCAACTTATTCAGGAAGTCTTTGAGACATGCAATGTATTTATGCTGCCGCCAATCAGTCGCTACTTCCGGTGACTCATTAAGAGCTCTTTGTTCACACCTGTGCAGAAGTCTGATCAAGTTTATTTCGAGAGGAGATTTGAAGTGTTTCACTGGAGCTGCTTCTTCTATTACTTTAATGGCCATTTTGAATAAATACTTTCCTACATAAGGCTATCCACAATTCTCTGAAAAGTGAAGTCATATCAAGGCATTATTAAATTAAGAAACACTAAATAACTGAACCAATCAATTGATCCAAATCTCATTTGGTTTTATGCTAGATTTTAAAGATATACAGCCTTTTAACCAGTAGTGGGGGGGGGGGGGGGAGGGGGCGTCCCTCAGGGATTCGACCGAAAGGGTGTCCCTTTGTACTATTTTGATATCCATTTATGGCTGACTGACCTTAAAAATTTTCTAAAGGCGCCTTTGGCGCCAATCTATACTAATTTTGAGGGGGATCGCGAAAATTTGGGAAAAATTAGGGTCTTTATAGTGCTTTGGGAGAGCTCGGAAAATACTTTTGGTCGACCTAAAAGAAAGTCGACCCAAAAAAAAGTCGACCCCCCTCGAGAAATTCCTAGATCCACGCCTGCTTTTAACTATAATTTACAATGTATAAAATATTTAGAGAAGTAAGATCTGATATCAATAAAATTCACTTGTTTAAAAGGGAAAAGAAGCTATCTTCTGTTTGTAGACAAAGCCATATTTTCGCTTGCCATGTTCATCTGGAGAACTGGCATCTTTAAGTTATAGAATCATCTTCAATTTTTTCAACGATGATTCTCTTGAAAAGCTTTTCAACCTTTTCACTTGAAACGCGTTGATAGCCCGCGACGTCATTTTTTGGTAGCCAAACTGCCAATAGCCAATGTCAGTTCCTTTGTAAACATCGTCACGTAGGTCCTCATCATCTGCAAAGTAATCGGATCTTTCTCGTCCAGCTTTTTGTGAAAAGTTGACCTCACCCACTCAGTCATATACTTGCGATCTTCGTGATTTTCTAACTTTATCACAAGACGAAAACAATCTCGATACGCTTTTAAAATATGACGTCTGTGAACAAAATCTCGAAGTGTTCTGTTATCGTTCGAAAACATTCGCAGAAGTTTCATAATCGGTTCTTGAAAGTTTCGCAACATTCACACAGAGGCGATGCAGAGCTTCGCGCCACTTGCTATACCGCATAAAAATAGCATTGCAAGCTAGCATACAAGAAAGGAAAGCCACATACATAAAAAACAAAATAATTAAAAAACTAAAAATTTTCAAAATGTTACATGGAATGATGTTATATTTGCGGAAAACACGTCCAGCAACACGATCGACGGCGTTTAATGAAAATTCGAAACAATTATTGAGCGGAAACTGGGCAGACAAAACTTGGGTAAATTACCGTAGAACTCAAAACAAAAAAAAAACGTTTTAAAAAAAAATAAAAAAACGTTCAACTATGATTTATTCTAAGAATTGAAGCATTTTCTCAGAGCCCTCAAAACGACCCAAAACTAGGCCACTAAGAAAATGAAATATAAACCGAAATCAATGTGACGACTAAGCCGACAACACATAAGCAGACATATTTTTTTGAAATGGATAATTCTTGTTTGAAAAAAAAAACAAGTTCCTGGTCAGATTCGAGCCTACGACCTTTGCCGTCCCAGGCGTATTCGTTTTTTCCAGGCTAAGTGTGCAAAAGACGTGGAGACATTTGAATTCACTATGAAGCAAGTTACCACCAGGAGTCCAGATGAGCATGTGAACAAAGTTATTTACGATAAAAAAGTCTAGCATCCGATTGCAATACTCTTGCCTATCGCAAGAGAAATTATATCTGGAGAAATTATTTGCTTTTGACTTCTAAAATTTTCTAAAAAAATCTTTTCAGCTAGATTTTAAAATTCCCGAAAACAAAAAGAAAGAAATACTGTCTACTCTATGCATAAAAATATACCACTTTTACTCCAAATACAAACTCGATAGACTATAAAGAAAAGAAACATAAAACAAGTGTTTATCTTGTAGAATAGTATTAACTAAGCATAGAGAACTTCGCAGTTTCCATCATCGTCTGAACTAACAATTGCACTTGCCATATTCACAAACAGTCCAGTTTCTATCAAGCCCGGAATTGAGTGCAGAAAAATGTCAATTTCAGCCCAATCTTTGCAGCTTCTTTCTTTTGAAGCTTCTGTATATGAAGATCCGTTGGTCAAACCATTGAGATTGCAGCTGTTGTTACGTAACAGAGGAAACTTCCAGTCGATGATGAAGTTTCCGTTGTCTGTAACTATTGGTCCCATCTTCGCACTAGCCATGCGTAGAACACACTCGCCGCCTAGTGATGACGTAATCTTTCTGGACACGAGAGAGTGGGCCATAGGCAACACTTCAATCGGCACCCCTTTCGTCCAGGTTTCACCCAGATATGAGGCGACCTTGTTTGACCTGATGACCAGAACTAGAGAGTCGGCAGCGGCGGCTATGATTTTCTCTTGCAGCATGCAGCCTCCGCCTCCTTTGATGGCCACGAAACCACCGTTGGAACATCTAAAAATACAATTTCTTCCTTTCCATCTTGCAAGTATACTGCTTATCAAACAATCAACCCCGAATATAATCGAACCATTCTGTCACAAAGACATAGTTAATAGCTTTATAACCAAACCAATTTATTGTACACTCAAAAAGTTTGTAAGATTGTCGGTACGAAATGATACTTTGTGATTCATTCTTTTAATCATAATGACCACAGGGGGAGCGGTGGTGAAGTAGTTCCGTCTGCGCCTCTCAATTCAAAGGTCGGGTATTCCCGGCCCACCATGATCCGTGCTCAATACTTGAGGGTGAGGCAACATTACCCAGCCGAGAAAAAAAACCTGTAATTCTCAAGCAGAGGCGCAACATCGATTCACCGTGAAAAGCTCGTATGTTGGTCTTTGTGGATAAATCGTCTTTACTACTTAACCACTTTTATATTCTGAACTCAACTGAATAAATTAAGTTTTACATGAAACAATTAATTCCAGAAGACGCTGATGTGAACTCTTTATTTACAGACAAATCTAGTCAGCACAGCAAACTTACTTTGTGATTTCGTCGGCGCCATCAATTGTAACATGCAGGGAACTTCCGTCATTTTCGTCCAAACTTTTCAGCGGAAGTCCATTTCCCAAAATCAACTGACGGCTCTGATAAGACGTGGGAACACAAGACACGATGGCAGATGCGTTCGTGGATTGCACTTCTTTAAGAGCACTTGCGACAAAGACGACAGTTGAGCCACTGCCAAGACCGATCCTTAGATTCGTTTTTGCCCCCACGAACAACTCAACAGCTTTGGAAGCGGCGACTCGCTTGGCCACATTCGAAGCTGTCGACATGTTGGAACTTTCTAGAATAATTTCTTCTGACGACGTCATGAGCTGAAAATTCACCGTTGCTGTTCGAATTCAAACAATTTTATCAGCAAGATAAAAACGAAACACTGTCATTACAATACTAAAGCAGCAAAGCCAATAGACGTTCAACGTTCCAACGCACACCTTCGAGTTCGACGCTTGAATATTTGTCAGATAATAATTAGAGAGCAATCACCCAACGAACTTTTGGTATACGTACAATGAATTAAATAGTACAAAAGAAAGCGTGTCAATTTTAAAGTACAACTTTCACTATCTCTATCACATTTCAACGATAAAAAAACTTTGGAACCGAAAAAGTGCCGTCAAGCTCGGATAAGTTTTTTCATTGTCAAAAGATATTTTGAAACCTTTTAATAGAACTAGAAGCACGATTTCAAGAACATGATATGACAGCCGTATACATCAACAATTCGCGAAAACACACGAGAAAACGGCATCAATTAGCTCTAGATAATCGCAAAAAGGCAAATTCACAAAAAAAAAGAAAAAAAAACAATTTTAAAAAAGTAAACATTACATTAATGCTCCTATCAAAGTGATAGCCTTGAATGTTCCTACTGCGTTTTAAAAGCTCTGATTTTGATGAAAGCTCAAAACGCTAGTGGAGCTTCGCATTAGTTAAGATATAACAAAAATTTTCTTTAAAAAAATGCAAAAACAAAAACAGATCCACTTATCAAGCACACAAATTCAAACCAGCTTTTGAGAAGAAAAAATAGCAGTTAGTAAGCCGAGACAATTTCAGACGACAACGTTAAACAGAAAAAATATAGGAAACAAATTTCAAATGGCATTAATTGTCAAGAACATTGCCAGTTTGAAAAAATACATGCCTTGGTCGGAACCTTTGGAGCCTCAGTAAAATTCTACACCCATTTCGCCCTTCACACGCTTCGCCTCTCATAAATTACTAGCACATTTCGTCCCACACACAATTCTCCCCCACACATTTCGCCCCTCAAATTGCACACTAAGAAAGCGGCGGTTAATTAATAGTGTAATAATTTAGGGGCGAGACGTGCTAGGACAAAATGTGTGAAATTATTAGGGGCGAAATGTGTGAGGGGCAAAATGTTCCACTAGATTTAAGAGGGGCGAAACGTGGGACATTCCAGCTGAGTGATGGTAATTGATAATGAACTACTCAATTTCGAAGAGATTTGAAAAACAACTTAAAGGAAAAAGGTAAGTTCCCGATAAACTTCATGTTAACAAGGATAGCCGGTTAAAGTGCAAGTAGCACAGAATGCTCCGACCATAGTCTTAAAAAATACAAAAAAAAGGTTTTCAAATTAGTGTCATTTTTTCGGCGAGGCGTGATAAAAGGAGCTGAACGGAAAACTAAAAGCTAAAATCAGCAAATTGAAAAACAATTTATGTCAAAAAATGACTAGAAAAACGAAAAAAAAGTTTTTTTTTTCGAAATTTACAAGGTTTTTTGCAGCTTTTTTGAATTTTTTAAGATTATGATTCCAAAAAGGTGCTAAAATACACAAAAAAACTCACGTTACTCACGTTTCAAATTAAGTTATAGTAAGCTTGCAAGCCTTGTAAGACTGCTCGCTCACTTTATTCGTTCGAATTAAGACAAAAACCAAAAACTTCAAACCGGTTTTTCTCGACACTGGGAACAAACTTTGAAATTTTTTCATGTCATTCGAATCACGACTGTAAGGGCTTCAATATGATATATCACTCTACTGTGATGACTTTTTGGTAGCTTCTTTTGAGTGGAAAAAGAAAAAACTTTAGGCACACCCGAATAAAGTTCCTCCCCATTTTCAAATGGTCGGAACAAAAAACCCAAACAGGAAAAAAAATGCGGGTGAACTAACTAATTCGCTTTCAGCTCAGGTTAACGGTATCTTTTAGATACACAAAAAATTCTGCAAGAACAGAATCGAAAGTAGTCTGAAAAATCATCCCAAGCTCAAATGTTCTGATTCTTTCTTCTAAATTTGGAAAAAAGTAGTGAAAACTATAATTTGAGTCTAATCTGAATTTAATAAGGCCAACAACCAGGCTTCAATTTTCAAAGATTTTTTTTGAACGTGACGGAATTTGAATTATCTCGCCGTTTTAAATAAGTAGCTCTTACCTGCGTGCTGAGCATTATAGTCAAGCGCATGAAACAAAAGTCTAACAATTTCAAACGTCGTAAAGGCTAAGGGAAATATCTGCAGGTTAACTATTCCTAAATATTTGAGCTCAGAGCGTCGATGCCTTCTCAAAATGGTATAAAAATAATTTCGATAACTTTGCGGAAAACTTAGGACTAAAATCTGCGACATCCGTTGGAAAAAAGTTTACTGTATGTATTGCCAAGCTCGCTTGCGTTAGAAGTAGAGTAGACTTTCGTAGCAGTGATTTTCAATTTGAAAGAATTCATTATCTTGAACAAATTAGTGCGCTATATGACACCAGCGGATTAAGGGGGGGGGGCATCGATGAAACCCAGTAAAAATTTTAAGCTTCGAAATAAGTTTGAAAGAGCCATTTTGTTCCGTTTCATCTGATCCACGTATGCATAAAATCAACTTTGACTTTTTCAACGCCGCCGTGAGAGACAACTGAGCTGAAAAAAAACAAGACTGCTCGTATCAGGGCAAAGCCCTGAATGTTCCGACTGCCTTTTAAGGTATATCGAGCAGTAATAACATTTAAAAAAATATATAAAAAAAAATGAAAAAAAGTTGAAATTTTTTATGAAAATCATCCCCCACACGCCATATAAACTACAAAAGAATAGATTTCGCTCATTGTAACAAATCATTCATGGCAAATAAGTTTCTTTCAACCAATTTGGAACAATTTCTAAGAGGGATTAACTCTCCGCTTACGCGTTAATAGAGCGAAATATATCGCGCGTTAATTGTCCCAAATTGGCCAAAATGGCAATCTTTGAACCCCAATAACTTTACAAAAAATGATCACAGTTGAAATATTTTTTCAAATTTGAGCTCAGGACAACAACACCTTTCGAATGATATAAAAAACATCCGTCAAAAATGGCTAGTTAAAAAGTCGAAATTTGTCTGAAGAAAAAAAACCCACCCCGAGCACAAATATTCCGTTACTTTCGTATCGAAAGTCGGAACAACAAGACTGCTCGTATCAGGGCGAAGCCCTGAATGTTCCGACCGCCTTTTAATGTTTATGGAGCAGTAATAACATTTAAGAAATTGAATGAAATAAAACAAAACTAAATTTTTTTTCTAAAATTTGAATTTTTTAATGAAAATCATTCCCCCACACGCCATATTAAGTACAAAAGGATAGATTTTGCTCCTTGTAACAAATCAATTCGGGCAAATAAGCTTCTTTCAACCAATTTGGAACGATTTCTAAGACGGATTAACTCTCCGCTTACGCGTTAATAGCGCGAAATATATCGCGCGTTAACTGTCCCAAATTGGCCAAAATGGCAATCTTTGAACCCCCATAACTTTACAAAAAATTATCACAGGTGAAATATTTTTTCAAATTTGAGTTCAGGACAACAACACCTTTCGAATGATATAAAAAAACATCCGTCAAAAATGGCTAGTTAAAAAGTCGAAATTTGTCTGAAGAAAAAAAACCCACCCCGAGCACAAATATTCCGTTACTTTCGCATCGAAAGTCGGAACAACAAGACTGCTCGTATCAGGGCGAAGCCCTGAATGTCCCGACCGCCTTTTAATGTTTATGGAGCAGTAATAACATTCAAGAAATTAAATGAAATAAAACATAACTAAAATTTGAATTTTTTTAAATGAAAATCATCCCCCCACACGCTATATTAAGTACAAAAGGATAGATTTCGCTCCTTGTAACAAATCAATTATGGCAAATAAGCTTCTTTCAACCAATTTGGAACGATTTCTAAGACGGATTAACTCTCCGTTTACGCGTTAATAGCGCGAAATATATCGCGCGTTAATTGTCCCAAATTGGCCAAAATGGCAATCTTTAAACCGCCGTAACTTTACGAAAAATGATCACAGGTGAAATATCTTTTCAAATTTAAGCTCAGGACAACAATACTTTTTGAATGATGCTAAAAAAAATTCCGTCAAAAATGGCTAGTTAAAAAGTCGAAATTTGTCTGAAGAAAAAAAACCCACCCCGAGCACAAATATTCCGATACTCTCGTATCGAAAGTCGGAACAACAACAATCTATTATTTTATGAAAGAATCAAGGACGCATTGTAAAATTGTTGAAACTTGTTTAACCTTTTCAAAACCTTTAATTAAACCCCTTCATGCAGTAAGCTAAGTTGACCATTCTAGTTCACTTGGATAACACCCGGAAAACAATTTTGCGGTCGTACAATCACGCTTTGCACAAAGGGAAAGATTTTAACACGTTAAGGCGTGCATTGAAAGCCTTGAACAAAAGGCTTGCAGAAAATTGATTCGGTTCATTTAGGATTAAATTGAATATTCAACCTCTCCTATTTTTGACGTTGTTTTGTTCCTAAAACACTCAGAGCTGTGAAAACTACATTCAAGATCGAAATTCACAGAAGTATATCAAAAAAGCTCACTCAGTTCCGGTAACATTTATTGTTCAGCTTTAGGAAATTTTCCAAATAATATTCACATGTTACCTTCCCTAGTCTCCTAATACAAAATGTAACCAAACACAAGTTTATTATTATTTAGCCTAATTGTTGTGATAAACTTATTGAATAGTTTCAGATTTGGACTGTACACTGAGATAATTCTTACACCTTACTGGGAGCTGTCATGATGTTGAACATTATCAAAGAAAATATCAACCAACTGTCGAATGATATTGATCCATCTTTGAAATCAATTCTGCAAGATCTTTTATCCCATGTTGAAACTCAAAGCGGCACCATTGCAAACATGAAAAATGAATTAATTTTTCTGATGAAAAAAGTAAATGATCTGGAGCGCTATTCCTCAAAAGATTGTATCATTATAAACAATTTACCTCTGCGACATGGCTCTGATTATGTAGAAGATGTAATCGCATTCTTTCGTGAAGCAATTGACATCTATGTGCCTCGTGATTCCATGGTAGCGTGTCACCCTCTAGGCCCAATTCGCGACATCAAAACCCCCCCAGCCATTATTGTGAAATTTGTCTATTTTGATGTCAAAGACCGTATCTGGGCAAGGAAGCATTTTTTACGACATTATCTCAATCAGATCAATAAAA